AAGATATCAAGACACAAAATGAGCTCTACCAAATGGTGGCGCTGGCTGTTAAAGGGTTAAAAATATTCTTCATTTGCAGTATTTTATTTTAAAAGTGTTCAGAAAGACTGCATCAATGATATGCTATATATATATAATATGAATATTTGTATTAACTTCAACCAAAGTCAATTTAAATAGAGGGCAAAAATGGGTTAATTGCCATGGATGTGGTGTTTGATATAGTTTACGTTCAATTTCAACTATTTTAGGCAGAAAAACGTCTATTGACTAAATACTTTTTAATAATTTACTATTTAGAAAGGTTTTTGTGAGAAATCATTTCAAAAGTAAACTTTTTTTTCCTTTTGTATTTAAATTTGAAATGTTTGCACCAAACATTATTCATTTATACATTTTTATCAATTGTTTAAAATTATGAATCCATTTATTTTATTGTATTTCCTTGAGGCTGGGGAAGATATCCAGCATGTAGTTCAACATGCAAATGTTCTAATCAGAGTTCATACACTTTTTCACCAATGCTTCTCCATGACTTCTCCATGACCTATACCTAATTTTCCATGACCAAAAACATTACTCTGTCTCAGCGGTTCCACTGAAAATGGTTTATTTTAACATGGAACAGGAAAATAGGGTCTGAAACATGTTGTCCCTTTCTAAAACAAATCCAATAGTAGGCTTACTAGCTTCTACAGGCTAAAGCAACTAAAATCTCTCACCAGCAAAACACCTCGTCAGTTAAATGCCATTTTACGTTTCATTACTATACGATACAGTATTTATTATCATTATAGTATTACTATTTTGGCGATTAGCTAAAATATAAATTATATTTGATGCAATTTTAGTCACATTTCCATGACTTTTCCAAAACTTTGGGGAAAATATTGTTTTCCATAACTTTTCCAGGGCCTGGAATTAGCATTTTGAATTTCCATGACTTTTCCAGGTTTTTAATGACCATAAGAACCCTGTCTAATACAAGTAAGTATAAGTATAATGGAAAAGTAAATAAAAAAAGTTTCATAGGAGGATGTGGAATTATTTTCTCTCACCGTACACAATCAAACAATCTATAATTTAGCTCTGGCCTTCACTCACAAAAAAACATTTAGTTGAATTGGACACATTTTTCGAAGCTCTGACATGCAATGACTGGGACTGGTGGAAGAATCTGCGAGGAATTAACTAGGAGCAGAGAAATAATCATATTTTAAAAGACAGCAGCCAACAAGAGTCACAAGGGTGTGTCACTTTGCTGAAGGATAGACCAGAGGCCTGTACTACGAAGCTGGATTTTCTCTTAGCCAGCTAAATTCAGGGAAATCTCGGGCTTTCCGGTCCTACGACGCTGGTTCTCTTTTTAGCAGGCTAGATTTCCATGGTAACTTATGCTGAGCGGCAAACCTGCTCCGGAGCAGGTTAGGTGGCAGGCTAAGAGATCAACTCAGTGAAAGCACCGCCTGCTGACCAATCAGAGCTCCGTGTGCGGAGTTTAAAGCGATCAATTCATATGACAGGAGGAGAAAGGAAATACAGTTTAAACTGCCGTTGCAGGAAAGACGACCGGCCAAAATCAACTGACTGTGTGAACGTGAAAATTAATAGAATATCCCCTCCCATCTTCAGAGCAATCTGACTATTATAACATTAGCGTTAAGAAAGCTTACTTAAATATCTGCCACGACATAAGTAACCGGATCAGAGTAACATTAAGTACAGTCCGCGGCACTGTGAGTGCAGACGTAGATGTGTCCCATTATCATTCATATCATATCACATCATAATGTATCATATATCTCCTTATTTGAGTCAGCTTCTTGAGCCGTATCTGGCCGTGCAACACTCACAGTGTCACATACTGTATGCAGAAGTATTATTTTAAGCAACACATTAAATTGACGAAACACTCGAGTCAAATTCTCCTAATTAAAGTCAGATCCACTCGTGTCTTGGACGGGGCAGTGATTTCATAAACCTGTTAATGTACGCATTCAAACACTTTTTCTTTTACCAGCTGTATTCACCTTGCAGGTGCAGCTATGTGGCTTTTATCCTGGGTAAAGTGTTTAAGTCATGGATGTTTAAAGTTTAACTTCCTCATATTTGACTAATATTAAAGTTCACTTTTCATTCAGGAAGTATCGCTGTCAGTACGCTTCTCCGTGTTTGAGATTGGTCGAATGCTCCAAATACCACCCCTTTCATGTGAACGCGCACCTAACTAGATAGGACACGGCGGCTTGAGCGATCCACTTGATATCCAGCGTCGTAGTACAGTTTAGCGCCAGCGCGTATGTTTTGGATTACGCCAACCGGCTAACTCCAACATATCCAGGTTAAGTTGAACCAGCTTCGTAGTACAGGCCTCAGCTATCCAGGCCAGACTCTAAAGACTTTGCATGGTGTAAAATGCTGCTGCTGCAGTACTAGTGCTGATATCATGTCTACCATCCTCTTAAAATACTCTGTCCAACAATATAAGTCTCATGAAGAAAGGTGTTTTAACGCTTATTCAAAATAGTAGAGAAACATGCATTCTAGTACTCAGGAGGGGACTTTGACAGAGGATTACTAAAAAAAAAGTACTTCATTTTATTGTTGGTAGCAGGCAAACTAATACCGAGTCCAACAGTGTCAGTTTTATTAAGAACTTGCGGTAAAAAATATTTGTAAAAAAAAATGAAGAGCAGCTGATTTGAAAAAACAAAGTGGAGAGACGGCTGAGTGACCGCAGTGCAGAATCGCTGTATAGTTTAAATCTCCTAACAATGTTGTCCATTTTAGACACAGACTTATTATATTTACAGTCCTTAATAACATTCATTTTCTGGGCTCAATGTGTGTCTTGGCCGTTTTCGTTGTGATCGCTAAATTCACCTTGTTTCCCCTCGTTTATAATATTATCACCGTTCCAAGCAAAGGAGTGCTTTTGTTTTGAAATCACTTCCGCGAGTTTCGCGGCCCCCCCTCCCCCTCCCCCCTCGCTCCAATGACCATTAGACCATTTAGTAAGGTAAAAAACTAAAAGCAAAAACGCCTCGCAGACACTCTTCCGTTTACTTGTTTAATAAAGAAAACAAATGGTCCGTAGATACACGGATTCATCTCCCTCCATCATGTTGATTTGAATCAGAAGTTCTGAACATGAGCCCGCCCCGCTCGACCTTCTGAGCCAATCACAGCGCGATAATGACCTGCCTTCCGTTTCAACCATACTCCTTCCGTTTCCACTATACTTTCTCTCACACATACATGTATTCTTCTCTTGCATACATATATTGTCTTCACACATACATACATTCTTCTCTTGCATACATATATTGTCTTCATACATACATACATTCTTCTCTTGCATACATATATTGTCTTCATACATGCATACATTCTTCTCTTGCATACATATATTGTCTTCATACATACATGCATGCATTCTTCTCTTGCATACATATATTGTCTTCATACATGCATATATTATTTATAATATTAAATGTAAACATTGAATGAATGTGCATGAGAGCAAAATGTATAAATATGAGCATTAAAATATATGAATATGAGAACAAAATGTAAAAATGTGTGAGTGAAAAACTTATAAATGTGTGAGTGACAATGTATGAATGTGTGCATTGAAATATGATAATATGAGAGCAGAATGTATGAATGTGTGAGTGTAAATATATACGTGTGTGAGAGTGAAAATATATGTATGTAAAAGGAGAATGTATGTATGTAAGAGTGAAAATGTATGTATGTAAAAGGAGAATATATGTGTGTAAGAGGGAAAATATATGTATGTAAAAGGAGAATGTATGTGCGTGAGAGGACCAGTATGAATTACGGCCTGTACGGCCCCTCATACAAAAACAACAACACTGAAGTAGATAAACAACTGATTTCATATTTAGCAGAGAGAAAGATGTGGTTTGTTCCTGTGGTTCCGCTCAGGGTGTGGTTACTTTAAAGAGTTACTTTAAAGAGTCCCTATGAGGGTCCAGAGACTTACAATCATGCAGCAAATTTACAAAACAGTTCTAAATTGAGACGAGATTTTTCATTAACCGCACGTTAAGTTTGACAATGTCAATTTGAAGGGTCTTAATTGGGTCATGAGTTTGCACAGATGTACTATTTTCACTTTAATTAATAAACTAGGGATTGTTTTGAGTCTGCGGGTGTTTTTCTTGTTGATTTTTCTGCATTTGGTACTTTTACATTAAATACTTTAAGGACATTTTGCTCATCATACTTTAGTACATACACACGTGTCAATGTAGGATTGTTCATGCATTCTTCCAGCGTGTTATTACATTTTATTATGGATTTGTTGTCAAAGCACTTCAGATATTCATTGCTATCGGGATGTTAAGAGCATTCCATGGAATATAACAACAAGTGTATCTCGAGCCGGTTTCTCAAACTTACCTACCCTACCTTTAACATTAACTTTTTAAACTTTTAACTTTAACTTAAATGCATTCACTACAGGACCTCCGAACTTTTAACATTCCTGACGTCTGTGCAATGTTTTACAACTGACAGAGCCAACTGTGCTCGGACCCAGTCAGCACTGGAAGTCAGAATCAAACATCCACAAACATTTCAATTGAGAATGCAGTTTGGATGTATAGGAACATATTTGTTGAGGCTGATTTTGTATAAACCTTCAAATGTAATATATTCTCTGAATTGCTTTTCCTGCTAATGTGTTGTCCAGCCCACCAACATGAATATATTATTATCAACATAATACCAAGTATTGTTATTCTTAGTTATCATTACACATAGACACATAGATACATGTTTACATGTTTCTTCATGCCCCGATGTCAGACCGGTTCAGACTGCATTCTTCACTGATGACGTGAACTCAGAGTACAGTCTGAGAAACAGCAGGACATGGAAATCTTTCAAAAATCATTCTGCTAAAGCTTAAGCTAAACAGATGGCGCCGGTGACAATGGGGTGTCTTTAACACATCACAAACTGATTCTCACCTGCTGAGCTCTCTTCAGGTCCACAGAAACACTGCTGATCTGGTCCTCCTCAGTCCTGGTTCTGCCTGTCGTTATCTCTGCTTGTTACTGAACACTGACGGTTCTTCCCGCCCTCACCTGCAGAGAGAATGGGGTGTGTGTGTTTGAGGGGCGGAGTTTGATATGAAGGTAGATATGGTGCAAAATGCGAGAGCGTGTAAAACCTGATGTGAGCACTTGCAGAAAAGAAATCTGAGCTTGTGTGCATACATTTACACTTGTATAACATATCCACGTATCTGTGAACCACATTTGAAGTCACAGAAGAAAAAAAAAAGTTTTGTAGCTTGTAGAAAAAAAATGAACTTAGTGATGAAATGTTCACTTGCAGAAAAATATATATTTTTTAAATATATTTTCCATTACAACTGCAACTTGGTTATTACAACCTCTCAAATCAGTCATTACAACTTCACGAATCTGCTCTGTGGCAGTATTTGGTACACTTCTTGCGATGAATGTGTCGCAAAAGTAATTTTTAGGTTTGTGCACAGATGGAAGGCTGACAGGCAGGTAGGCCATCCAGTTATTTCAGCCGGGCCGGCTCAAATGATTGGTCGTGCTTTTTACAGAACTACGGCTTCCACTGATGAAATGTTTTTATGGATTTTTTGTCAAAGCACTTCAGATATTCATTGCTATCGGGATGTTAAGAGCATTCCATGGAATATAACAACAAGTGTATCTCGAGCCGGTTTCTCAAACTTACCTACCCCACCTTTAACATTAACTTTTTAAACTTTTAACTTTAACTTAAATGCATTCACTACAGGACCTCCGAACTTTTAACATTCCTGACGTCTGTGCAATGTTGTACAGACGTCAGGAATATATTATTATCAACATAATACCAAGTATTGTTATTCTTAGTTATCATTACACATAGACACATAGATACATGTTTACATGTTTCTTCATGCCCCGATGTCAGACCGGTTCAGACCTGCCCTGCATTCTTCACTGATGACGTGAACTCAGAGTACAGTCTGAGAAACAGCAGGACATGGAGATCTTTCTAAAATCAATCTGCTAAAGCTTAAGCTAAAAAGATGGCGCCGGTGACAATGGGGTGTCTTTAACACATCACAAACTGATTCTCACCTGCTGAGCTCTCTTCAGGTCCACAGAAACACTGCTGATCTGGTCCTCCTCAGTCCTGGTTCTGCCTGTCGTTATCTCTGCTTGTTGCTGAACACTGACGGTTCTTCCCGCCCTCACCTGCAGAGAGAATGGGGTGTGTGTGTTTGGGGGGCGGAGTTTGAAGTGCTGTAGTAGTTTTCCACTCAGGAGGAACAGACAAAGATCAAGGTTCTGGTTCAAGGCTTTTATTGTCACGTGTGCACGGCTAGCCCCTCCTCCAACACACACGAACGTGCACATGACCAATGAGGGCACGAGATAAGTTTGTGCACAGATGGAAGGCTGACAGGCAGGTAGGCCATCCAGTTACTTTAGCCGGGACGGCTAAAATGATTGGTCGTGCTTTTTACAGAACTACGGCTTCCACTGATGAAATGTTTTTATGGATTTTTTGTCAAAGCACTTCAGATATTCATTGCTATCTGGATGTTAAGAGCATTCCATGGAATATAACAACAAGTGTATCTCGAGCCGGTTTCTCAAACTTACCTACCCCACCTTTAAATGTTCTGCTAGTGACATAATCATTTTCATCTGAACACTGCACCATGTGGCCCTCAGTGTGTGTGTGTGTGTGTGTGTGTGTGTGTGTGTGTGTGTGTGTGTGTGTGTGTGTGTGTGTGTGTATGTGTGTGTGTGTGTATGTGTATGTGTATGTGTATGTGTATGTGTGAGTGTGAGTGTGAGTGTGAGTTTGTGTGTGTGTGTGTGTGTGTGTGTGTGTGTGTGTGTGTGTGTGTGTGTGTGTGTTTGTCTCCGTGTGTCTGTGTGTCTGTTTCTCTGTGAGTGAGTGTGTGCGCTCGCGTGTGTGAGCCAAACAAAAATATGAGGGGCCGCACACATTCATACATTGTCACTCACACATTTATACGTTTTTCACTCACACATTTATACGTTTGTCACTCACACATTTATACGTTTTTCACTCACACATTTTTACATTTTGTTCTCATATTCATATATTCTAATGCTCATATTTATACATTTTGCTCTCATGCACATTCATTCAATGTTTACATTTAATATTATAAATAATATATGCATGTATGAAGACAATATATGTATGCAAGAGAAGAATGTATGTATGTGTGAAGACAATATATGTATGCAAGAGAAGTATACATGTATGTGTATGAGAAAGTATAGTGGAAACGGAAGGAGCATGCTTAGGAGATTTAAACTATCCAGCGATTCTGTATGAGAGGCCGTCTAGCTCACAACTCATACTTGGTCTTACAAACAATATCAGAATCTCTCATGTACACCACCAGACTCTTTCACACACAGTATCATACCGTCTTTAACGTACTGTCATTCCTTCCTTCATTTCCTATCATACTATCATACATAAATAACTATTCTCTCTCACACACAAAAACAAATCTCTTAAACGCACCATCATACTCTCGTACACACACCACTATTGTCTTTCACATACAACTATAATCTAATAGAACATTATAATAGTGTATGTGAAAGAGGATAGTAGTATGTGTGTAATCGGTAAACAATGTATGTAAGACAGAATAATAACCTATGTAAGAGGGAATAGTATTTCATGTTAATAACAATAGTTGTCTATGTAAAACGGAATAGCAGTGAATGAAAGGCCGAATAATAGCTTATATAAGAGGTAATAATAGTTCATGTGAATGACTATATAGCTATGTGTATAAACAGAATGATAGGGTGTGTGCATAAGAATAGTTATGTGTGTGAGAGAGTATGATTGAAAAGGAAGTGAGTATGATTGAAAAGGAAGTTGGACTAAATTCTCAGTTCCTGATTGGCTCTACGTTTTTTGTTTGACGGACACCGCCCACCCCCACATAGCGCCATTGTGAGATGAGAAAATGGTGGAAAGGGAGCGACTTAATGAAGCCATAGGCCTCTTAACTAATATTTTAGATAGGCCTTCTCCAAATGTTGTCACATCGCTGTCAGGAATGATGGATCAAAGGCGACAGTCGACGTCGTCCACAGTAGGCAATTCTAGTGTGAGCGTTGACGAGGAATTGCAGCGGGCCTTCAGACGTGGATCAGGTGCATCAGGGAGTGGCGGTGGAGCCTCATTAGGCGCCAACCTGAACCAAGTGCTGCAACCCCGATATCAAACTCCGCAGTATTTTGGGGGATGGACTTCAAAGTCAAGGAAGAGGTACGTTTATTTTTTAAATGTCAACCGTGGTCATTTTAATATGTATGTTGTTAATTGAAGCCGTTTCTTACTGCTTGAAGCTAACGCTTTATTAACCTACTATAGCGGGGCAGTCAAATGTTAGAAACGAGACTAATCACAGGGTTCCCGCGGGGTCTTAAAAAGCCTTACATTTAATAATCAGAATTTAAGCCCTTAAATATGATTTTAAAAATCAAGAAAGGTCTTCAATATGATTTAATAGGTCTTTAAACGGATTTGGAAGGTACTTCTGTGTTGCAGTTCCCCCCCCAAATTATTTATATGGAAATAAATCAACATGGAACCAATAACTTGCTGCAATAACTTTGCATCCCCTGGCCCCTTATTGGAGAACACCCAGCTAGTAACTAGCAACCAAGCGTTAGCTAGCGTCAGTTCAGAGCCGGAGGTATCTTCACATCTTTTTACGAACATTATGGGGAAGTGTAAGTTTAACCGAATATGGTTGGAGAAAGGGGCATTTAGTGCTTGGTTGAAACTAGTGAAGGGGAACGTGTTAGAAGCCCGCTGCACCTTATGCTAGTGTGTAAAGGCTTTTGGAATTTTTTTTGGTCACTTGTATAGTTTAGTAAATAAGTTAAAAAGGATGCCATGATGTCAAAATACATTTTCCTCAGTAATCTTGGGTGTCTAACATAAATGGATATAGCACTGAGTTATAATCAGCCAGTCAAATGTGTTCAGAATTTAAACCACTATTTTTTAGCGAAGCAGATATGTCACACAGACCCTGTCTGCCTCCAAATCCCCTGCAAATGCTATAGGCTCATTGGTCGTAACTGTGCCATTCTAGCTCATCTCAAAGTCTGCAATTGGCTGCGGAATATTTACGTTACTTTTGTTATAATTTTTCAGCATTATGCTGCAATCTTTATGTAAATCCACGTTAGCAGTACAAGATGTACTTAATAAGAGGATTTCTGATATTTGTCACAGTTCTGCTCCATCATTCACCAGTAGTTTTCCATTCACCTGTCTCACCTGTTAACCACACCCACGTTTTTGCTCACTCTCTTTCTCTTCTGCACCCATTAGCTTTACTGCCAGTATTTAAACCCACACCTGACACACACCCGTTGCCAGATGGTACTTTGCCTTCATGCTAGTCTTTCACGCGTTTGTCACCAGATTGCCCACCCGGTTCTGACCCTGCCTGTCCCTGACCTGCCTGCTCTGCCTGTTCCCTGATCCTGCCTGTCCCTGGACTATCCTGCCTTGCCTGCTGTCTGACCCTGCCTGTACCTACGTTGACCGCCTCGCCTGCTCCCTGACCCTCTGCCCGGCCCTGACTCACCTTCTGCCCGCTGTCCTCTGGTTCGTCGGCCTGCACATCATCCGGCTGATACTGTTCTGCTGGTATTCCTCTGCTCTGGTAGTATTACCAATAAAGTACATTACCAATACTCCTTGGTTTCTCGAGTGCTGCATTTGGGTCCTTCATAAGATCGTGACAATATTAACAATTTAATTTCTTTTGATGTCTTCCATATCTTACACCAGTCTAAACTCCTGAAAGAAATAATTGGTCTGCCTTCTATATACATGATTTTAAACTATTACTAAACTATTTTTAATGAAAAGTACAGGTTTAGGATCATTGTGTCACCAACAGAAAATATTTACTGCTCTGGTAAAACGGCAAGATATTTGTGGTGATATATCTGATTTCTTAGATTCATGCCTCTTTTGTAGTATTTGCTGTTGATAACAACTTAATCCGCAGTAAAGGCGCTTCTTCTGCCGTTGCAGTTGAGTCGAGCCAACCCTGAGCTGTTTGACTTGACCCATGCTTTGTGGTTCCTCCCCCGACTGCACTCGGCTACACTCGTCTACTTTCGATGCAAGCAGCAGCTCATCTCAAACTTTCTTTTTTGTTTTGTTTGTAGGTGTCAGATGTTCTTCTTTGAATGACCTCTCACCACAGAACCACTCCAAGATGTTCTTGCAAATGCAGGGTGTCTCAGGCCTTTGAAATCCATAGAAGACAGAGACCTGTTGGTCCAAGACATTACCATGTTCCAGGTGGTCCACAGAGTTGCAGGAGCATTTGAAAGGTTTGTGCAACACTATTGCCTATAAACCAAATTAGTGATATCATTTAGGTGCTAACAAAAAAGCTAAAGCTGACTATATTTTAAACCTTTTTTTCAAACAAAGATACAAGAAGAAAAATGTTTGAACGTGTATATTTTTATTGAAAAGAGATTGTTCCTTATAAAATAGGGCTGTGTAAGAATAAAATAAACACAATCAAATCAGTTCATGTGGTCAGAAACATATTACTCCCTGTAAATGAAGCTCTGAAGTATGTCTTTCTGAACAAATTACATTAATTCATTTTCCCAATTGTTTGGCAAGTCTGAGCATATTAATTAAAGATTGTCACAAACATCAAACTTTGTTTTTGCCCTCTTAGATTTCATACTGATCTCTGATGGACATTTTTTATTTTCGAGCTATTTTTCTGCAATGGTGATGGAATATATCTCTTTAGTTCTTTACTATTAGCTAACACAATTGTTCACACAAATTCTTCTCTTGACCCTCATTTGTATACTGTAGATTTAAGGAGGGGCTAAAGGTCCTTGGCGTTCTAGATGCAATTAAAATGCATCCAGAAAGTTTCCGGCCTTTGATGTGCCACGAACCATCGGCTCTCACTGCTGACGTAATGGACCATCTATTCCATATCCTGCTGTCTGAAGTGGGAAGCAACAAAAGAAGGACAGAGGAAGTTGTGGTACCCTTTTGGAGGGATTACCTGCAGGATGTGGAAGGTTAATACTGCTGCTAGATGTAGTACTGTCTCCAATGATGTTGATCACTTGGTGTGCAAAGACTTGCTACAACATTACATACTAATGCCACATTGACATTACTCTTTTCATTGTCTGCCTTTTTCCTTAATCTTGCTTTGATTCTATTTCCTTTTTCTTCCTTTCTTTCTGTCTTAAAATATCCTCTTACTTGTCACATGTTTGGTTTCTTTGTCTTTCATTCTTTACTAATAGATTTTTTCTGTATGGTATTTTGTACTTGCTGGTATGGTTTAAAATTGTAATTATTGTTTTGCTTGCTTTACTGTGTTTTAGATCAAGAGGGACCACCAAAGTTAGGGAAAATCCTTGCCTTTGCAACAGGTGCAAGTGTCATCCCTCCAGTTGGCTTCTCTCCTCAGCCATCAATTGATTTCCTGCATGGGCATCCCTCCAGCCCCAAACAGCGTCTGCCCATGGCGAACACTTGCATAAACTGCCTGAAGTTGCCGCTGCTTGAGACTTATGATGATTTTAAAGAGTGCATGGACTTTGCACTAGGTAACACACAGGGTTTTGGAAGAGAGTAATGGGAACATTATGTTCGTTCCATCTACCTCGTTCAGGAGGTTTCAGCCAGGTTCTTGAAGCAATGTGAACAACAATTTTTGTTTTTAATTTTAGCGAAGTGCAAAAAAACATTATTCTTTAAAAGTCACTTTTATTATTTATCAACCATTGTACATTGCTTTATTAGTGCTGACTGAGTAACTGGGCACATCATTAAGGTATTATGGCCCAGTGGTGCAACAAATCACATAAATATATAACTTACTTTCAGTCTGTTTAAAAACAAACAGTGCTTGTTTTGTTACTTTAAGTGTGAACCATTTCCAGTGTTTACTGTTCACTAAGAACATTCACCAGAACTAAAAAAAATGATATGCCGTGATTACCATCATCACTCAAAGGGTCAAATAGTTCTTCAATTCTGTTCATCATGGTTTGATTAACATTAAAGTCATTTACCGGAACCACAATGTTGTTGTCTGTCACTAATGGTAAGGGGATGTGTTCATTGACTCCAACTGTCTCATTTCCTTCAAAAATGTCATCAATTGCCAAGTTTCCAGCTCCAGCACTGTTTAGAACTCCTCTCTGCCACAGTTGGAGAGGAGTTTGTCCACCCATTGTAGATAATCCATGGTGGTTCCACTGATTTTGGAATTCAGCAGCTGACCTTTGAACTCTTGGCAGGTAGATGTAGTGAAGACAAAACAAATGGAGGTCATTCGTAGAATCCAATATGCCCTCATTTTCCATGAAGGTAAAAAGGTTACTAAAGTGGAACGAGACAACTCTGTTAAGCTCTGCCCACAGCCGTTCTATCCTCTGGTTATGGACACTGCGTCCCGTAATGACACTGCCTCTGTTTAATCCCCTTCTCTCTAGCATATACCTGGCAACCCCTGTGTTTTCCATGCCATGGTCACAGCGTACTCTTGAGGGAAGGCCAAAGTTGTGTACACCAGTACAAAACAGTCCCAGAACACTTGATGCCCTGTTGTTATTGAGGCATTGCAAATAAATGATGGTGCGACTAAAGCCGTCAACACATCCATGAAACACCATCCGCCATCTCACCAGTTTATGGTTTCCGTCTATATGCCTGTAGGGAGAAAAAACTTCAATATTTACACAAATAAAATTGCAACCATGATGAATATTGTTAATACAGAACCAGAATGTCCATCACATGGTTGCCCTTCTAGAAGTCAGGACTAGTCCTTCCAAATTACAACACCTTTTTTATTTCACAGCATGAACTCAGTTTGTGTTGTTTAAGACAAAAGCACATAATAAAGGACATCCTTTATTGACTATATAAGTATTTATATTTTTAACGTAAAATAAAGTTCCAGTGGAGGAAGACTAGCAAAAAATAATAAGTGTATTTTAAAGTTTTACTTACTTACTTGCCTACTTGCAATAATGTCATGTGTTACTTTCTACCACTAGCAATATCTACTATATTACTTGTGCATTCATGGCACATAACTTAATTTAATGTCATGCAATACTCACCATAATTGATTGGGAGTTTGAACATTGTAAACTCTTCGACGAATTGCACGGCGGCGGCGAAAAGCCCGTCCAACCGGGTCAAGTTGTTGCAGGCAGCGTCTCACACGCCAACGTTGTATTCTGATGTGCCGTGAACGAAGACTCCCTAAAACATACCTTTCCCCTGCATTAGGGGTAGTTTGAAGGATCTCGCGAACAGTGTTTGCCAGAACCTCATCAGACATTCCTGCATAGGTCAGTGGTCTAATTTCAAGCCGCTGTCTGTGTCTGTACAGTGTGCTCCTGTTGATTCCTAAGCAGACTGCAGTTCTTTGCCAACTCATTCCAAGTGATAAACAGTGCATAATTTGCTCACGTTGTATATTGTACTGAGGGGGACCAGGATGGCCAGTTCTTGTTGTTGGAGGTACCCTTGAGTTAAGGCTAGTAATTTGTCTTTCATGCAATGATCTTGAGCTTTCATATGTGTTGGTAATTACACAAATACATACATACAGGGCCGCAAGGACGACTGAAGTTTCTTGACTATCAGTCCCTGCAAACTCCTGGCTAATTGATAGAAAAGTAAAAAATGTCCGTTGGTATCCAGCAAGTTCACTGAATAATCTGTCCAAAACCATGCTGTCAGGTCCCATGCTGTCACTTTCCCTCATAATGTTCTGAGCACACCGCACCGTTAGAGTGAAAAAAGTAGTAATGTCTTCCTCATTAACCTCCACGAAAATAAACTGTCCCTGAAGAAGAAGGTACATAAAAAGAAATATCATGGCTTTCTTCATACTGTTCAGACCTATAAAACAATCTTAAAAGTTCTTATTGCAGCTCAAATTTAGCGAGCAGGGCTCTGAGCAGCTTCAGGCTTCGTTTTCAAAGCTGTAAACCAGTCAAGGAATGAATATTTAAAATGGCTTCCTGTTGGATCAACCTGACTTCCTTTTAAAGTATACTCTCTCACACCCAGTACAATGTCCTCTCACACACACACACTATCATTCTCTCTCACACACACTACTATACCCTAATATATACTACAATCCCTCTCTCACATACACTATCATTCTCTCTCACACACACTACTATACCTTCATACATACTACAATCCCTCTCTCACATACACTATCATTCTCTCTCACACACACTACTATACCTTCATACATACTACAATCCCTCTCTCACACACACTATCATTCTCTCTCACACACACTACTATACCCTAATATATACTACAATCCCTCTCTCACATACACTATCATTCTCTCTCACACACACTACTATACCTTCATACATACTACAATTCCTCTCTCACATACACTATCATTCTCTCTCACACACACTACTATACCCTCATACATACTACAATTCCTCTCTCACATACACTATCATTCTCTCTCACACACACTACTATACCCTCATACATACTACAATCCCTCTCTCACATACACTATCATTCTCTCACACACACTACTATACCTTCATACATACTACAATTCCTCTCTCACATACACTATCATTCTCTCTCACACACACTACTATACCCTCATACATACTACAATCCCTCTCTCACATACACTATCATTCTCTCACACACACACTACTATACCTTCATACATACTACAATTCCTCTCTCACATACACTATCATTCTCTCTCACACACACTACTATACCCTCATACATACTACAATCCCTCTCTCACATACACTATCATTCTCTCTCACACACACTACTATACCTTCATACATACTACAATTCCTCTCTCACATACACTATCATTCTCTCTCACACACACTACTATACCCTCATACATACTACAATCCCTCTCTCACATACACTATCATTCTCTCACACACACACTACTATACCTTCATACATACTACAATTCCTCTCTCACATACACTATCATTCTTTCTCACACACAACGTTTCCTGTCTTGCATACACTACTAGAGTATTATATTGTAGTATGATGTGGTCTGTAAGTGGGAATAATAGTGTTTCTAAGAAAGTACAGTTTGGTATGTAAGTAAGTTTGATTTATGGCCCAGACAAAAGTGTGTGAAAGAGAGTATGATTGTGCGTGTAAAAGTGTTTAGCTATATGTATACAAGAGTTTAATGGTGTATGTGTGAGATTCTGATATTGTTTGTAAGACCAAGTATGAGTTGTGAGCTAGACGGCCTCTCATAATTCTGCACTGCGGTCACTCAGCCGTCTCTCCACTTTGTTTTTTCAAATCAGCTGCTCTTCATTTTACCACAAGTTCTTAATAAAACTGACACTGTTGGACTCGGTATTAGTTTGACTGCTACCAACAATAAAATGAATTACTTTTACTGTGTACTTTGTGAGTAATCCTCTGTCAAAGTCCCCTCCTGAGTACTAGAATGCATGTTTCTCTACTATTTTGAATAAGCGTTAAAACACCTTTCTTCATGAGACTTATATTGTTGGACAGAGTATTTTAAGAGGATGGTAGACATGATATCAGCACTAGTACTGCAGCAGCAGCATTTTACACCATGCAAAGTCTTTAGAGTCTGGCCTGGATAGCTGGTCTATCCTTCAGCAAAGTGACACACCCTTGTGACTCTTGTTGGCCTCTTATGAAGCTGCTGTCTTTTAAAATATGATTTTTCAGATTCTTCCATCAGTCCCAGTCATTGCATGTCAGTCAATAGAGCTTCGAAAAATGTGTCCAATTCAACTAAATGTTTTTTTGTGAGTGAAGGCCAGAGCTAAATTATAGATTGATTGATTGTGTACTTACAAGGTGAGAGAAAATAATTCCACATCCTCCTATTAAACGTATTTTATTTACTTTTCCATTATACTTATACTTACTTGTATTACACAGGGTTCTTATGGTCATTAAAAACCTGGACAAGTCATGGAAATTCAAAATGCTAATTCCAGGCCCTGGAAAAGTTATGGAAAACAATATTTTCCCAAAGTTTTGGAAAAGTCATGGAATTGTGACTAAAATTGCATCAAATATAATTTATATTTTATCTAATCGCCAAAATAGTAATACTATAATGATAATAAATACTGTATCGTATAGTAATGAAATATAAAATGGCATTTAACTGACGAGGTATTTTGCTGGTGAGAGAGTTTAGTTGCTTTAGCCTGTAGAAGCTAGTAAGCCGACACTGTAAAATGTTAGGCTGTACAATTATTAATTAATTATGGAATTACTGTGATATAGTAGTACAGAGCTGTGGTATTATGGTACCTTGCTGTACATAAATTACAGTAATTACCTGTATTTTCACACTTTTACTGTAGAAGTAATGCAACACAGTAGCCAGTAATTTACTGTAAATATAAAAATGTAAATAATACGATATTATATTGTAAACTTGACTAGTTAACTGGGATTTTACCATAACTACACAATTCAATCAGCTCAATCAACAAAGAAAAACAAAGAAAATGCCCATTTTAACTTTGTATTACTCCATTGAAGTGCAAAGTACATTTCACAGTGTCTTGGACATGTTGTTACGGCCCCAACCTCTACTCCGGGGTAGTGGCTCGTACTGAGACCCGCAACATGAAAGAATACACGCAATAACCGTACTTGGTAACGAGCATTTATTGATAATCAGCCGTTTGCTCACACAAGCGAAACGGGAAACAAAAAGAGGTCTGGAGGACTGGCCAAAAGGAACAAACAGAAGGAGGGAACCCGAGCCAGCCACACCACGGGCCGTAGGACCCAGAGCCCCCCCCCCCCCCTAACCAGAAATCAATTATAAACCCTATGGGAAACAAAATAAAGCCGCGAAAACTGAACTACCAGGTCCTCCAGGCTAAACAAAAACACATCTGCAAAAATATGGCCTACAGCTCAAAATGGCAAAGAGGTATTCTGAGGAGAGTGTCTCCCGGCGTTAGGATAGGCGAGACCTCCTTCTCCTAGCTTCTCTTTATATATACACGGCTGAGTGGAATT